GCGTCCAGACTCCCCCGATCTGCCGACAAACAGCTGATCGGCAGATCGGGGCAGCCATTTAAATTTAAATGAAGCCGCGATTATTTTAATCGCGGCTTCATTTCCCTCTTCCGAGCTGGCTAATCTACATGCCTCCGTCGAAGGAGGCATGTAGTCTAGACACACCCTTAGAGTAGCGTGTAGAGTATAGATAATGCATGGGTAAAAATATCAGGGTAGATAGTAAGGTACTGCTTAGGCATGTAGCATTTAGTGCTGTACATGCGTGAACCCCAGAGTATATATTCTACCCTGTGGGTTCTCAAACTTCGATGCCCTGCAATCCCCTTTTGACAATAAAAATTACTACATGACCCCAAGAAGAGGGGCCAAAGCGTGAGCCTGCCCAAGCCTCCTCCCCAACAAGGGGCCTGTAATCTGAACCCTGCCAGCCAGCCAGGACAAAGTCCTTAGTCTCTGGCTGTGTTCCTGGGTAGTGAGGCTCAAGCTTTGGCTCTGGTCCCCAGTAAGTCTATCGCCTGCCCTGGTGACCCCATTAAAACGGAGTCCCTACCCACAGTTTGAGAACTGCAGCTCTACATGGTTCTCTAGAGTGTGTAAACACCCCAGCAGTGTTTCCTATGTCTACCGCCATCATTTTTAGCAGTGTAGCCAGAGTCTTTCCTCACCGTCTCCCCATGCCGAAGCCTTAGGTCAGGTCTATGCCAGGAGGCAAAGTCGAACTATGGTCCGTAACTCCAGCTATGTGAATAGCATAGCTGGAGTCAGCATTCCTTAGTTCGACTTACTGTGGCATCCCCACTGCAGAGGGTTGATAGGAAAAACTCTCCCGTTGACTATTCTTACTCCTTGTGACCCGGTGGAGTATTGGAATTGATGGGAGCAGGATCAGCTGTGGTTTAGTGCATCCTTACTAAGCTTGCTAAATTGATGCTGTGGAGATAAATCTCACAGGGGTCAATCTCATGGTAAGTGAAGACAAGGCTTACACAGCACAGTGAATGTGAAGGAAGTCTGTGTATCACTATGGCGTATAGCTACATGTGATCTACATGCCACCACAAGTGGAGACAAGGTCTCAGTAATAGTAAACAAACCATAATTAATTCTATACAACAAAACCTCATTGTAAAAAGATGTGCACTGGTACAACTGCAGTGCCTTAGTTTTCCCATCTGTAATATTGGGATAATAAAAAATGACCAAAATTTTCAAAATTGGGTTTAAAATTAGGCTGGTCAGTGTGGATTTAGGGATCTGAATACATGGATTGATTTTTCAGAAGTGCCAAGCACCTTGCATTTCCATTTCAGTGTATGGGAGCTGGTGAGTTCCCAGCACCAATGTTCCCTGTAAGCTGTGCAGTTGGGCGACCACACAGGAGATTCAGGTGCTTCCCAGCTGATTGGCAGAGCACCCTCAGCTGGCGGCATGTATTTCTACTGTTGGTGCACAATTGCACATGCCTCAGTACACATCAAAATTATTCCGCACATAGGTGGAAAACAGTAGAGGTGACGTTGCTCGGCATGTTTGAAAATCATATTATTTAGATACAAATTTCTATGTGTTAATACTGTATGTCAGTGACATGCAATAATGTATAAATTAGGGCTGTCAATTAATGCATGTTAACACCTGTGATTAACGCAGAGTGCAATTAACGTGTTGTTAATTTTTTTAACGCATTAATCGCAGGCATTTCCACGGTGCTGCCCCTTTGAAATGCCACCAGGGCGTTTCAAAGGGGCAGCGCAGAAGGAACGTGGGATCAGCTGGAGTCCCCAGTGCAATCCGGGCAGCGATGCCCCTTTGAGACGCCACTACTGAGTTTCAAAGGGGCAGCGCACGTGATTAACCACGATTAATTTTTTTAATTGCTTGACAGCCCTAGTATAAATATATGTAATCTTAGTTCTGCAGTTAAGTACATGTCATGGAAACGTATTGTGTGTCTCTCTTAGATTTCACAGATGATAACTTCTCTATTTATTGTCTGGATTTGTTGGTGGATTTTGTGTTCAGTGCCATTCGGTGTATTCAGAAAATTAATTGTGAGTTTTAAAAACCTGTAATTCCTATG